CTTACAATTTCAACTGTAACCTCAAATTGTTAAATCCAAAGCTTCCATTTCTTTTTCCATGTTCTCTTGGCCATTAAGTGAGGCAGTATTCTATTTAGCGTTAGTTGGCTCGTTTTGGCATCAAATCTGAAGTAATCTGGACAACACATTCATGCACGAATCAACTTGATCGATGATTTAGATTCGCCGATAACATAAACATCTTATATATAGTTGATTAATAGACTTGGTTAACATTTGATTAGTAATGTGAAAGATGAATATTACCTTAACCTAAACCCTAACCGTGAACTAAACGGTGCCTAAAGTCCGTTGTGGTGGAATGGAACCAAATTTAAACGAATGAAAACGCAGAAGTTAGCAGAAAATGCAAAGAAACACTAAAATGAGCCAAAGGCCCAAGCAAAGGCGGCCCCCACAAAATCCAAGAAAGCAAAGCCAGCCACGACGCAATGCGCAACATAACGAACGAACCCTCTCTTTCTAAATTTCTCTGCGGACCAAAACAAGACACGTTTCTGTCTCTCTCTCTGCTTCCCTCTCACTTCCATATTTCCTTCTCTTTAAAACCCTAACAAACTCTCTCTATCTCTCGATCTTTCTCTGATGATCTGAGCTTTCTGGTTTATCGCAAAGTCACAATGCGAATTCTGAGGTCACGGAGCTTCAGAGCCTCAGTCTCCGACTCCAATTACCACTTCAATGTAGGGTTCAGGCGCTTCGTCACCAGCTGTAGAGCCGTGGTGTTGCCGCGCTTTGGTGGGCCTGAGGTTCTGGAGCTCCGGCCCAATGTCAACGTCCCTGATCTCAAGCCCCATGAGGTCCTCGTTCGCACTCGTGCCGTCTCCATCAATCCCCTCGATACCAGAGTGAGTCAAATGTCATTTCTTTCGTTAATTTGATTCTTCTGTTTAATTTCTAAGGTCTGTTTGGTTGCTGAGGAAACAAGGGAAATTAAGTTTTTGATTTTCATCTCCTCTTTTCCATTTTGGCCATTTCCAATTCCAACAATAACTTGAGCCACAAATTTTCATATTTGTGCCAATCAGCATTTTTTTAATATATAAAAAACTTCTTTAATCATTCACTGCATCTATACAGTAATTATGATTCTGAGTATGTTTAACATTTGAGTGTTTGAGTGATGACATTAGGTTGGTTAGTCTAAAATGTTATCACATGTAAGTTGAAGATATATTTATAGTTAGTTTCTGTTGTAGTGTGACCATATAGAAAATGATTTTCTAATCCAAACATCATTGGCTGTCAATTTATTATTATGTTTTAAAGCAAGATTTTAACATGAACGCCTGCTGTTATTATTATTATTATTATTATTTTTCATGCATTTGCTCCTTCCTCCTATTTCAAATAGCCCATAGATAACATGAATGCCTTGATTCGAACTCTCATAAGATTATTTCATTTTATGCTTGTCATATGGCTGAGGTTGCAGCTCACTAATTCTGTAATACTATGCAATAATGTTATCATTGTATTCAGCGTTCTGGGTTTTAATTATTTTATTTTTTTCAGATGCGATCTGGCTATGGTCGTTCGATATTTGAACCCCTTCTACCTCTTATTTTGGGTCGTGATGTTAGTGGTGAAGTTGCAGCTGTGGGAGATTCAGTTCGGGGATTGAGTGTAGGACAAGAAGTTTTTGGTGCATTGCATCCTACTGCTGTAAGGGGTACTTATGCTGACTATGCAATTCTATCAGATGAGGAACTTGCACCAAAACCAGCGTCAGTTACACATGTGGTAAATGTTGTTGTACTTTGTTCCTAGCTAAAGAACTGTAGAATGTTACACTTGGTGGTCTTTTGCTTTTTATGATTTGGTTTGGCTCTATGTGTTCTGTTATTCTTCATACCCTCCATATAGTGTCAGTGGATGGTTCAGTTTTAGTTGTGTTAGAGGATGATTTAGTAGGTGGTAGAAAAGTGTTATTACCTTAAAATGTTTATTTCTGCTTTCTTTGCTGTTATTTGATCAACTATGGGAAGCTAGTTTTGAAAGGTTTATAGCTTCAAAACATGGTGAAGGGGAAAACGAAGCATCATTTAAACTTCCACCTGGCTCAGGAGAAAATAGAATGGTAGAAAACAGTTTTCTTAGCTTTAGATTGTAGATTAATTGGAGTAGAAACCACCTGATATGGAACTGAGGCCACCAATATTAAACAGAAAATGAGAAGGTGCTTTGTGAAAATTGGCAATCATTTTTATTTTGAACTCCAGGGGTGAGCATGTTTTTCTGCTTCCACTCCCATTTTTATCTTGTCTGTAGGAAATATTGAAAGTGGCTTGCATATGATACGAGATGGGCAAAATTCAATGTAGCATGAAATATGAGCATACTATGTTTTGTAATCAATTCTCTCAGGATTCCAATCTACCTTAGGAATTGATGATGATTATGTACAGTTAAGTGGAGGAGAGGTTTAACATTTACGTTCTGTTTATTGCTTTCTGACTACAGAACTTGGCTTTATCTTGTTCTGTGTAATCCTAGGAAGCAAGTGTCATTCCCTTTGCTGCTCTGACTGCTTGGCGTGCTCTCAAAAGTACCGCTAGGATAGCTGAGGGGTATGTTTTTATAAAACGTCTTGTCTCTTGTTATTTTTATTATTTTTTGAAGTTGCTAACTGTCATTAACAATTTAGCATCCTTTTCTTATTGCATCTGATCTCTACAGACAAAGGGTGTTAGTGGTGGGTGGTGGAGGAGCTGTAGGTTTGGCTGCAATTCAGATTTCAGTAGCCAAAGGCTGCCATGTTACAACTACCTGCGGAAAGCAAAGTATAGATCGAGTATTGGCAGCTGGTGCTGAGCAGGCTGTTGACTATACTGCTGAGGTGATGATGTAATCAACTGCTACTTGACTTTCATTTCACCTCCCTAGCCGAGTGAAACTCCCATATAGAAAAGTGTTTCTATGTGCATATGGGTGTAAAAATCATGAATGATTTCTTTGCTGAGTTAACATGTTTGATTCACAGGACATTGAATTTGTAATAAAGGGGAAGTTTGATGCTGTTTTGGACACCATTGGTGGGCCAGAAACCGAAAGAATAAGCATAAATTTTTTAAAAAGAGGTGGACACTACATGACGCTTCAGGTAGGAGATGGAAACTTGTTAGTATTGCCTCTCTAAGGGACCTTTGATGTTTCCTTTCAGAATTCTGCAGCATAGGCTGATAAGGGTTTTATCCTCTTTTTGTTGTAGGGTGAGGCAGCATCTTTGACTGATAGGTATGGGATAGCTTTTGGGCTTCCAGTTGCTACAGCTGTGTTACTAAAGAAACAGAATCAGTACCGCTGTTCTCATGGAATAGGTAAAACCAGCTTTCATTTTTTGGTACATGTTTCATCATGGTGCGCACTTTAAGTTCATTATTTGTTTAAAGCGGGGAAAGTGTGGTAATATTTTCACAAGTTGATTAAAGGCGAGCTTGTTGATGTTTTTTTGGTTTAAACCTTTTATCCCGCTTGCTTTGGTTTTGTTTGCGTATGAATTTTTAAGCAGTTTTAGACTTGAATAGGACAAAGGCAATAAAAGGGAGGAGTACTAGGAAGAATATAATATTGATAAAATAAGTTGATGTTACACGTTTTGTCATTAGTTCATGGTTTATTGTGTTAATTGACATAATAAGCATGTCTAATTATATTAAATAACAAAAGATGGTCTGAAAACCTTCTTTCTTTTTGTCTTTTTTTTTTAAGATCAGGTACGTTTTTGGGTAATATGTGATGCCGAAATTACATGTTCTGATATTACCTTTGCAAGCCCAGGTTGTTATTTTAACAAGTTGTATATATTCTGTTGATGGTGTAGAATACTGGTGGACTTACATGAGAGCCGACTCAGAAGGGTTATTTGAGATCCAAAAGCTGTCCGAAGCCGGAAAATTGAATATACCAGTGGAGAAAACATTTTCCATCACTCAAGTGATAGAGGCTCATGAGGCAAAGGAAAAGAAGCAGATCCATGGCAAAGTAGTGCTCAAATTTGATTGATGAAAATTACAGCTTGCACTGCTTTTGTCTATTTCTTGCACATTTTACCACTATATTTGCCTTTAGCATCTCTCCGTTGGTTACACTTCTCCATACAATAAGAACTGGCAGTTGTACAGGAGTTGCAAGTTCAGGGAAAGGCTTTATATCCGGTTGGCAATCTGTAAATGTTTGAGAATGTTCTTGTGATAAATCTTTAAAATTGCTCTATTTTGTAATTCATTAGTCTGATACAAATCATAAATTTACAAGATGAAAGAGTTTGCTTATTAGACTCGACTCGACTCGACTCAACTTTAGGTAAGTTGGCTTTGCCGAAGCATCATTTGAGGTATAATGTGACCCAACATTTGCAATTGCCGAGCACCTGGTAGGGGAAAAGTTCCAACTGCGAGAGCCTCTTTAAATTATTTATGGAAAAAACATCTTTCACCATTTTTTCAAGTTTATTTATAATTTATTTTTTAATTTGCAGTTGGAAGAACTTCACAGCCTAACTAGTGGTCTCAAGTTTAAACCCCATAACACCTTGATAGTGTGTGTGAGAAACTCCCGTTTCTCTTAGTTTAGACTATCGCTTGTTTTAAAAATAAAAAAATTGCACCATACAGGCAAGCTTGAGCCTTAAGGTTGCTAGGCCTGAACCCTAATAATTAGAGGGCGGTTATCTAGGGTTT